CTTTCTTTTTCCCTCTCTCTCTCCCTCACTCTGTCCCTCTCTGGTCAAATTAAAAGAAATAAATAAGATAAATAAAATACATATTAAGCATTCTTTTATGAGAAGAAATAGCCATGAGAGGTGGTGAAGGGGGTGATAGGTGACGTGGAGGGACTCCTGGGGGGTAGCGCAGAGCACAGTTGCTCCTGGACTCCTCCCTGGCAAGCTGGAAATAAGGCCGCAGCCCCCTTGAGCAGTCAGCCTGCCATCTGAGTGCCCTCTTCAGAGACTGTGGCTTCTGCTGCGAGTCCGTGCACGGTGTCATGCCCAGGAAAATGAAAAGAGCTCATTATCCACTCAGCGCTGGCATGAGTGCTGGCAAGTAACTTTCATGTTATACTGTCTGCAGCTTGGTGTTCTCTTTCTCTCAGCTTTTCTTCCTTTCTCTGCTGGCAACAGTGAGAAAATCACAGCAAATAAACTGCTTTGAAAAGCACCTGAGGGGCCAGGCAGTGGTGGGGTGGTTAAGGTGGCTGCTTCGTACGTGGCTGACAGGAGGCTTGAGAAACAAGCCAGGCAGGTGTGCATGTGCAAAGGAGGGCGAAATGGGAGAGAAGCAACTCTGGCCTGACCGCGTCCCCCAGGGGTGCTTTCCCACTTTCCTTCTCCCTCTTTCCTGGTGAAAAGCCAGCCAGTGTCATGGTTGTTGGGGCATCTGGATCCCAAATGGCCAGTTGGACAGTTTGAGTCCCAGACCTGACACCTTAAGCAACGCGCTGCTGGTTGTATGTCACACACGTGTGTGAGCGTGAGCACACACAGACACACACACCAAATCCCCACAGGAGGTAGAAATGGAGAAGGGATTGTGTAACCATTCCCTGTGGAGGGTGCTTTCTCAGTTGCTGTCTCTTTCTCCTGGGTGAGTGCATGTGCCCTTTGGAAAGCTAAAAACAAATCAAAACTCCTGAGAAGTCACAGCTTTCTTCAGTGAAAGTCACTAGACTCACATTAGAGATTCCGTAGGGATGCGAATAAATTTCACTAAAATGGTGGAATCATGTGTGTTTAGGATTCTCATTCCTGTTCCGGTGTTAATGCAAGGTCATGAATTTGGCCAGATCAGCTTGTGCTATTGGGAGAGCATCCACTCAGAAAAAATCATTCTCCTACTGTTCGTGCTATACTATGGTGTGAAGAGAATTTAATATTTTCCTATTTCTGGACTGTCTTAAATGCCAGAGCACGAGGAGAAGGAAAATGCGTATTATTGCTGGCCCTGTTTACCATCACCTTGTTCTCAAAATTGATAAAGCCAAGTAACCCTGGAGAGGAAAGCACAGCTCGGTGGGAAAAGATCCCTGTCCTTGACACGGGCTTTCTTTGCTTAAACTGGATTGAATACATGAGAGCAAGCGAGAGAGTGAGCTGACATATGTACTACATGAGAGCAAGCGAGAGAGTGAGCTGACATATGTACTACATGAGAGCGAGCGAGAGACTGAGCTGGCTTATGTACTACATGAGAGCGAGCGAGAGCGAGCTGACATATGTACAGAGTATCAGATTGTGTTGGAAACTGCAAGCCCCTTCAGTCTTAAATGAATTTGCATTCTACATTCTGGCTGTGTGACTGGCCCTTCGGAAGTCTCCCCCCATCCCCATGTAAGTGTAATAATGACTGCTTCCTGGCCTTCTCCTGTGGTTAGATTAATACGAAGGGCTTAGTAGAAAGCCTAACACAGATTCATTGTTACTTAATATTGCTCTGCTGTGACCAAGAGAATATTCGACCAGATGTCCACTTGTCTCAAGGTGTACAAAATTCATGAAGACACAGGAAAATGCATTCAACTTTCTTGTCTTTTTACTTCCAGAAATCCCTCGAACTTACCAGGAATATGAGAGCAGTCTTACCTTGAAAATGTTCCTGTTTCAATTTGTAAATTACTACTCATCCTGCTTCTACGTAGCTTTCTTTAAAGGGAAGTTTGTGGGCTATCCTGGAAAATACACATACTTGTTTAATGTCTGGAGAAGTGAAGAGGTAAGAATTCTCTTGAGAGGTGAGGCACTTTTTTAAAAGAGAGAATTTTGTTATAGGGCACATGTGCTCGCCGGAGAGACAGGAAGTGAGAAATCACCCCCCGCCCCGGGGGAAGGGCCATGACTCAATCCCTTCTCCTCCATTCTCTCTGGATTTTGGCCATGCATGCACATGTATCCGTGAATTTTAAGCCACCAGATTCAGGACTCTAACCACGGTTGACTATGTGGGAGTCCAGTGTCATAGCCATTAAGCCATCTGCAGCCCTGAGAGGCGAAGCTTTAGTGCTTGGTGCTAAGCAACATCCATTCCAGGTGATCCCGTTGTAAGAGAAGTCTAGACCCCGACTCGGTCCACAGGTGCCTCCGTCATCCAGTGGGCTGCCCAGTTCCTTCAAAGCAAGAAGTTACATTGTGCCTCTGATTTGGTAGTAAAATATAAACTGTGAAGTAGGAAGTTCCTTATTTCTGAAGGCTTCTTGTAAAGAATAAATTATTGCCTTTTAAAGGAAGGGTTAGAGAATTTTCTATGGATTAGAAAATGAGACTAGAGCAATGATTTTCAAACTCAGCTGTATACCCAAATCATGTGGAGAATAGAGCAGCTCCCAGCTGTAACTCCAACATGAAAGATTCAGAATTTTCTTCTCTCTTCTTTCTTTCTTTCTTTCCTTTTCTTCTTCTTCTTCTTTTTTTTTTTTTAAGAGAAAGATTTTTACTATGGGGGGGTATGCACTAACTGGAGTGACAGAGAAAGCAAAAAGTGACCCCCAGGGGGATGGCTACACAGCAGTCTCCTCTCCATTCACCTCTCGGATTTGGAACAAGCATTCACATGCACCCTGCATGAGTTTGAAGTTGCCAGGTCCGGGACTCAAACTGCAGTCAACTACGTGGGAGTCCAGCGACATAACCATTATACCACCTGCTGGTTCAGATTCAGAGTTTTCTAAGGATGAGGCCCAGGAATCTGTTTGTGTTTTGTCAAAGAGCACGTGTGCTCACCAGAGAAAAAGAGTGAGTGAGAGGGAAAGTGAGAACTCCTCCCTCCGAAGGGATGGCCATGCTTCAATCCCTTCTCCTCCATTATCCTCCTGGAATTTTGTATGTGTGTGTTTGTGTGTGTGTGTGTGTGTGTGTGTGTGTGTGTGCACACACACACCCAGCATGATATTCAAACACTCGCGCACCGAGTATTATATAAAAGCCACTAGGTCCAGACTCAAACTGCAGTTGGCCTAGTCATGTGGGAGTCCAGCACTGTAACCACTACACCACCTGCTGGCCCCCAGAAATATAAGGGTTTTTTGTTTGTTTGTTTTTTGTTTTTTGGAGAGGTTTTTGGCATAGGGTGCGTGCGCTCACCAGACAGAGAGAGACTGAGAGACAGAAAGCAAGAACTCACCCCCTGGGGGGATGGCCATGCCGCAATCCCTTCTCCTCTATTCTCCTCTTGGGATCTTTGGCACGCCCACACATGTGCCCGGCGTGAGTTTTAAGCCACCAGGTCCAGGATGTGAACCACTATCGACTACATGGGAGTCCAGCGACATAGCCATTACGCTAACTGCTGGTCCCCAGATATATACGTTTTTAACAACGTCCACAGAAGTATCTAATGTAGCCCCATGGTACTCATCTGTGATCAGTCTTGGAACTCTTGGGCAAAAAAATCTCCCTAATCACTTTAATATCCTTCCTAACCAAAATCTTTTTTGTTTTTTTGGAGAGGTTTTTTTTTTTTTTTGCTATAGGGCTTGTGCGCTCACCAGACAGACAGAGAGAGACATAGAGACAGAAAGCAAGAAATCACCCCCCCCCAGGGGGGATGGTCACGCCACAATCCCTTCTCCTTCATTCTCCTCCCGGGATCTTGGGCACGCACGCACATGCGCCCGGCGTGAGTTTTAAGCCACCAGGTCCGGGACGCGAACCGCAGTCAACTACGTGGGAGTCCAGCGACATAGCCATTATGCTAACTGCTGGTTCCCCCTAACCAAAATCTTGAGAGTTGAATGTTCTGGTTTATGGTTTCTTTTAGTTGCTGTAAATTTTTATCTTTCATCATTCACTGTATTTTCTCCACTCTTACTTCCAATCAGTGTGACCCTGGAGGCTGTCTAATAGAACTGACAACTCAGCTGACCATCATAATGATTGGAAAACAGTTGTTTGGAAACATTAAAGAAGCCATTTATCCGTATGTATGACTCACAAGTTTTCTGCTTGATTTAAATAATCACAAGAGGTTTCCATGAAGAAAATGAAAGTTTAATTTAATTTTAATTGAAAAATAATTGTATATATTTATGGAGTACAATGTTGTTTTATGTTTTGAAAGAAGAGGCCTTGCAGTGTCATGGTCTTCCTTCCTTTGATCTAACTTTGTTGCCCAGGACAACCTCGAGCTCCCCAGAGTCCCCCTCTAGGTCACTGGGATTACAGGCATATGCCATATGCCATTGTGTGCAGGATTTATGTTGCACTGAACTCAGGCCCCCCAATGTGGTCCCTGAAGATCACAGCATCTCAGCAAAATTCACCACCATGGCTGGGACTGAATACAGACTTTGAAGTATTCATTTAAAAAAAAAAGTAGTTATTCCCCCCTCACATGTATATTATTTCTCAAGATTACTGAAAATTAACTTTGTGAAAAAAGCCATGTGTTATCCATCTAGGCATAAAAATTTACTATAAACAAAATAACAAAGAACTTCCAGGACAACACATAACTCAGAAACATACTAATAATGAATATACTATAAAAAGAGAGAAGTAAAAGTAAAATGATAGTCGATCTCTGATATTAGGTTAACATTCTGATAGATAAAAAGAGAAAGTGGGCCAGCCCTGAAGCAGAGTGTTAAGTGCTGTGTGGAGGGAGCTATATCCCACATGGGTGACCTCAGGACTGGGGGTGGATCATGGCATGAAGACCCTATTGAAAGTCCTTTTTACTCACTCTGTCTGTTTCTCTTTCTTCCTCTCATTGAATAAATAAGTTTACTTCAAAAAGTGACAGAAGTGAATATGAAAAGGAATCATTTATACATAAACAGAAAGTGATATTTTAACTAAAGAGTACAATAGATTGAGTGATTCTAGTATACAATTCCAGACCAAACATGGCTGGAGAATGAATTAGAGAATTGAAAAATAGTACTGAGAAATACCAACATTGGATAGTACAACAGAGAGCTGAAATTGTTAAAAAGTAAAGTAACAGTATGCTAGATTGAAATTATGATTCCTGGTTTACAAATAATCCTGTACATCTTCATATAATACAGTGGTTTTTCAAACCATATAGCATTGAACATTACATTATTAGGTTAGCCTTTTTAATATTCTATTTAAGAAATCTTTCTATACCACTAAATTAAAAAGGTATTCTCATATATGTCTAAATTTAATTCTGTATTTTTTTTTGAGGTGAACACTTCAATGTTTATTCACATGCTTTGTTTTTCTCTTTTATAAATTTAATTCTGTATTTTAAAAATACCTTTTAATACCATTGTCTTTAACTTACCAATCCTTAGTGGATATGGAAAAGATTAACATGAGAGACAAATTCAATTATTTTTTTATATATGATGTATATATTTATGTATATATTCTTTCATATATATGAGAGAGAGAAATATGCATAAATTGCCATATTATCACTTACTGAGGAGTCATTACTTACTGTGATCTACACTTCCATTTATGCTATATGCGAAGCACAAGATTATTCTCAGTTTCCATTCTATTGTAGGATTTACCAGTCTCTGCTCTAACACTACATTCTCTCAGTACAGCTTTATACTAAGTCTTGATATCTGGTGGGGAAAGTTTTTCCAAGGAATTATTTATCTGCAGAACTATATTGGCTTTCTTTGGTCTTTTGTCTTTTTATATAAATTTCATAACATCTTGTCAAATTTCACACAGAAAAATATTTTGCTTTTTTATTGTAATTATATTTTAAATTATTTAGCATGAGCAATTGACGTTTTAAAAATATGTATTTTTATTCATGGACAGTTATTTTGGAGTTTAATGACTTCAAATACAGGTTTTTAATTTCTGCATATAGGTCTTAAAGGCCTTTTGTCAAATAAATTTCCAGGTTCTTTTACTTTTGGTTGCTGGAATCTGTTTTGAAATTACGTTTTCCACTGGCATGCTATTGGTGTATAGGAGCTAAATATATTGATAAACATTATTTATTTCTTATGATTTTTATGTAACTTCACTTAGATTTTCTTTTTTGCAGAGTTTATTTTTTTTCTTTTTTTTTGGGTATAGGATGCATGCGCTCGTCAGAAAGACAGAGAGTTAGAAAGCGAGAAATCACCCCCTGGGGGGGATGGCCACATTGCAATCCCTTCTCCTCCATTCTCCTCCCGGGATCTTGGGCATGCACACACACACACGCGCAGCATGAGTTTAAACCACTGGGTCTGGGACTCGAACCGCAGTCGACTGCATGGGAGTTTAGCAACATAGCGATTACGCTAACTGTTGGCCCCTTCAGGTTTCTGTGCAGCCATATCACTGTCAATAATCATAAGAGTTCTCCTTCATGTCATTTCCTTTGCCTTTTTTCTCTCATCCTATTATTAAGATCTCCAGTAGAGTCTTGAATGTGATTATGCGCATTCTTATTTTGTTCTTGACTCTAAACTTTTAACTTTTTTCTGTTAAGAATGATATTGTTTCAGTGTTACCCACAAACTGAGTTCATTTGCTATGGCTTGTGGTCAATAAAATGAGAGGCTGAGGCTGGGGAAGGGAGTTTTTATGCAACGAGTTTACCTGGAGACAGCAAACGTCACCAAACTGTCTCAGAAAGTCCAACGTGTGCTCAGTAATCATAGATACAAGATACAAACACATGCAAATCATTCCTCATTGCCTTATCCTGGTTCCTGATTTCTGCAAATATCCATTCCTAGTTTCTCATCTCACCGTTCATCAAAATAGATCTCCCTGTGACTCAGCATTTTGTCAGTGTTCTCATCAGCAGCTTCCCTCAGTGTGAAAATCTCTTCAGTCTTTGCTAGATCTCAAACTGGCTTGCTTAGTCAGAATTTTGGTAGATACTCTTGATCAGATTGAGGCAATTTCCTTCTATTCCTACTTTTCTATAATAGGCTTTAATATGTGCTTAAAATAGATACATTTTTCCACATTAGTTGAACTGATTTTATATTTTTCTCCTTAATTCTGTCAATGCGGTCTATTACATTGATTGATTTGCTAATTAAAAAAAAATTCCTCAGTGTAATCCAACATTATCATGATGTACTGTCTTTTTATACAGTACAGAATTTAGTTGATTAGTATTTCCTTAGTATTATTGCATTTATTTTCACATATTAGATAAGCTTCTACATCTCCATTCTCAGACATTTTCTAATATAACAAGTTCCCTTGTCCGTCCTTGAGTGTCCTGAATATCGTGACAGCATTGAGGTTACTAAATGACCTCAGTAATAACCATATCCTTCCACTCTCTTTCACTGAACTGTCACTGAGTCATTCTGTTTCTGTGAGCAGAGTCAGATGTGTCTCATTCTTGACCTCCACTTGTGTTATAAAAGCACATTGGATTTTGATTTGAACACTAGCTGGAGTTGTGATTCTCCTTGCCCTGTGATCTTAAGTGATTTCACCTGTGTGCCTGCCAGCCTTCAGATTTAGTACTCTGATGTTCTAACCTCCTTCCTTTTAGCCGTATTTCACGTATTTACTTTTATCACTCCCAACAGCATGGCTTTGAATTGGTGGAGACGCCGCAGGGCACGGACCAACTCCGAGAAACTGTACAGTCGATGGGAGCAGGATCACGATCTTGAAACTTTTGGATCCCTTGGCCTATTCTACGAATACTTGGAAACAGGTAATTTTTTTTTTCTTTTTTCTCTTTTTTTTTGGAGAGGTTTTTGCTATAGGGTGCATGAGCTCGCCAGAAAGACAGAGAGAGACAGAGAGGCAGAAAGTGAGAAATCCCCGCCAGGGGGAATGGCCATGCCGCAATCCCTTCTCCTCCTTTCTCCTCTCCGGATCTTGGGCACACACGCACACGTGCCCGACGTGAGTTTAAGCCACCGGATCCGGGACTCGAACTGCGGTCGACTACATGGGAGTCCAGCTACATAGCCATTTCGCCAACAGCTGGTCCCAAAACAGGTAATTTTTGACCACCATTTGGAAATAAAATCAACCTGAATCAGACAAGTGCTTTTCGGCTCTTAATTCTCTTTCTGCCTTGCAAATAGAATGTTCCGTAGTACGTTGAGAGTGTGCAGTGTTGAGTAAATCATCAGAGACGGATTTACTGGGTGGATGGATATGGAGAAGACTTGTTTGCTATTTCCCTTTGTCACAAATGGAATGCAGAAGCACGTTTACTTTCAAAATACCAGTCTTAGGGATACTCAGACGTTCATATTGTTGAACCGGATCAAGTAAGAATTACTTTATATCACCTGTCTCAGGTTAGCCTGAATGGCCACTCTTTTTTGGTTTCCCCAGTGACAGCTCAGATAAAGAAAAATTAGAAAACATTTCCAGAGTCTTGACTGAATTTAATGTGTTCTTTTACATCAGGCCGCAAAAAGCTGTTATGTGAGGGAAACTCAAGTTGAACACAAAAAGTGTATAAAGTATTCCAAGGATTGGACAGAAGAGACTTTGAGATGAAATTTTAGGAGAGGGAACTTTGAGAAGTGCTTGTGTACTCAGTGTTTCCTTCAAGCCTTTTCTCTACTTACCTGGTGGAATGAAGTAGGATGATTTTCATAATTTATTCTAAAGGCACATAAAGTTATGGAGGAATGATATTATATTATTATTCTGTATTACACTGTAGAATAACTAATAACTAATATGACCCAGAACATTAATTATTCTATAGTGTAGTATAGACATGTGATACCTTGGTTGAAAAAGGTGAATTTTGGACAAACAGAAGTCTGTTTTATACAACTGCTGGTAAAATTAAGTAGCCCCTTCTCATTGAGGTGATAAGGCTATAATTTTTAATTAGTTGTGTAAGTTTCAAAAGGATTGTGCATATGCACGTCAGAGATTTTATTAGGATATCAAAAGATGAAATCAAGGTTTTGTTACATAATTAACTACTGTTTACCAAAAGAACAGCTAAAAGTTAATTTGTTCTGGAGGGCTTACGTACATTCTCTTTAACCTCAAAAGAATTCTACAGATTAGTCTTTATTTGACATATTTTGTTTTGAGGGATACTGAAACTTGGGCAACTTAATTTTGCATGGGCCAGAAAGATTTTAGAAAGAGATCTGTGATTTAAACCTAGAAAATGTATGCTGCTTCTACATAACACTTCCTCTTTATCTTCTATCTTCTGGTTCAGTAGAGGGTCAAGAAGGGAGGAATGCAGTATGTATTTATTCACTTGACAATAAGATTGACTGAGTCTTTGGAGAAAAGCTGAAATCCACAAACATTCGAGGTTTATTTAGGAATAGAGGACCAGTACAAGAGTCTCTCTTCCCTCCTCCAATGGAAAGCCATTCCCCTCTCTTTTTTCTTCACTCATGTAAAGCTGCCCAAGCTGTCAGTTGAATGGGCTCTTCAACCTTAAGCCTTATGGTAAGCCAAAGAACAAAAATGAGGAGAGAAACCAGCTTTACACAGGTGTAGTCCCTGTTAAGTCTTAATGAAGAGAGAATAAAACATTACAAAGATGTCAGCATGATGCAAAGGAGGATGTTAACCTTCCTCTAAAAAATGTATGTATCATCCGCCCGTTGATAATTGATAAGCACACACACAGGTATGCCGACTACTAGAAGCATACAAATAAACCAGTCATCATCCCTGAGCTCAGAAAGTACTGGGTGGTCAGTAAAGTCATGATGCGTTTTTCTATACAAAATTGTGTCATAATTTTTATGACAACCCAATACAATCAGCAAGACAGAAAACTTTGGTTACCCCAGATTTCAAAGGGAATAGCAAAAGGTACTGAGCTATGCATACCCAGTTTCTCCTAAGAGTTGTAGTGAGCAGGAAGTTCCTTTGCCTCCTTTGGGAAGAAGTGGGCAGGCTGATGGAGGCCTAGAAGGCTTACCAGGAGCAGAGCGCTCCAGCGTGAAGGAAGTGGCAGGGGTGGATCATACTTTGCTTCCGCCCTCATGGCAACGAGTTCATTTCGTTTTGTTTTGTTTTTCTCTCCACAGTTATTCAGTTTGGATTTGTTACATTATTTGTGGCCTCTTTTCCTCTGGCTCCTCTTCTTGCTCTTTTAAATAATATTGTAGAGATTCGAGTGGATGCCTGGAAACTTACTACCCAGTATAGGAGACCTGTCGCTGCTAAAGCTCATAGCATAGGCGTTTGGCAAGACATTCTTTATGGAATGGCTGTCCTTTCTGTTGCAACGAATGTAAGTGGACCTGTTTCAGTGGGGTAACTTGGTATTTTATTTCCGGGGTGGGAGATATGAATAATGCTGAACTAAATCTTTATTTACATTTATTTCATCATGGTGATAGTCCATAAAGATAAACATGTTTAAACATGTATGTAAGCAATATAGAGAAATCTATGATGTGTAAAGTCTTAGAAATACAAAGAAAGTTCTAAAATATACTCATTAAAATATCATGACATAGGTTCAAACCATGTGACAAAGTAAACCAAAAGTAAGTAATAGTATAAAGTATTTGAATAATACAATTAAAGATTGAGGGACCAGCAGTTAGCGTAATGGCTATGTCATTGGACTCCCATGTAGTCGACCGCGGTTTGAGTCCTGAACCCAGTGGCTTAAACTCACGATGCACGCATGTGCATGCATGTTCAAGATCCCAAGAGGAGAATGAAGGAGAAGGGATTGTGGCGTGGCCATCCCCCCTGGGGGGTGATTTCTCGCTTTTTGTCTCTCTGTCTGTCTCTGTCTTTCTGGCGAGTGCACACGCCGTACAGCAAAAACCTCTCCTAAATAAAGAAATAAATACATACAATTAAAGATTGATTATACACGCACTTGTATACCACAAACAGAATGTACATTTGCCTGTTGTGTTTATGAAGCACTTATTTTAAAAAATGGTAAGAAAATGAAATTCCCCAAATTAGAAATTTTACACTGCATATTGACCTACAAGGTTTTAAAAAATTAAAGTTGATGAGCCAGCAGGTGGTGTGGAAGTTAAGAGTCTGGATTCCATATGGCCAGCTTCATGGTTCAAGGCCCAGACCTGGCAGCTTGTAAATCATGGGGTGCACATGTATGTGTGGTCACCCCCCAGGGGAGGGATTCTCACTTTCTCTCTCTCTCTCTGTCTTTCTCTGGCAAGCACACATGCCCTATAGCAAAAACTAAAAAATTAATTAAGGTTGATAATGAGATCATCAAAAGAAGAGACCAGAATCACCTGCTGGCCCCTACCTATTGCAGATAACTAATTTCTTAGGAAGTAATAATTGCCGGATTTTTTCAGTGTGATAGAGAATATGAATGCAATGGCAGCCACAGAGGAAGGTTTAAGTTTTTAGACTTCTACTTCATTAAACATCTGTTGCCAGCAGCAGATGATTTTAAATGGATTCATCAGGGGACTAGCAGGTGGCATGGTGGTTAAGGTGCTGGACATTCCCACATGACCTACTGCAGTTCAAGTCCCGGACTTGGTGGCTTGCTTTCTCATTTTTCCTTCTTCACTCTCTGTGTCTTTCTCTGGTCAAATTAAAATAAATAAATGAGTAAATAAAATAAAAAAATAAATAAATGGATTCATCAAACCTAAAAGAAGCATGTGTTTATATTGTTCCAGGGTTTGAGAAGGGAAGGGGAATTCCAGCCCCACGGAATCAAATACTGAAATGAGTTGCACTAAACTGTGGGAAGGTTACCACACGAAACCTCTCTCCACCCTCTCACCACCACCTTAGTGTTTTAAACACTTCGTAGCCACACGGCTCCTGGCACTGAATGGGGAGACATTCTCGACTCCAGACTGGCAAGTCCTGATCCTCCTCTTGCTTCATCCTTCAGGCTTTCATTGTTGCGTTCACGTCGGACATCATTCCCCGTTTAGTCTACTACTACGCGTACTCAACAAATGACTCGCAGCCCTTAAGAGGGTACCTCAATAACAGCCTGTCAGTGTTCCTGATCGCAGATTTTCCAAACTACACGGTACCTCCGGAGAAACGAGACTTCACCACTTGCAGGTTTCCTTTTGTTTGTACTTGAGATACCCTCCTTTGAGAACTTTGCCTTTGAAAGGCAGGAGAAGGTTCACACGTATGTTTCAGGTTAGATCTGTGCTACCTGTAGTTGGCATGTAGCCGTGGTTTTATGTAAACAGAGAAACACTCTGCCATGTCGGTTGTCTTCCTGTGACTGGACTTTTTTGGTCAACTAATTTGGTCTCTTAAGAGAAATAATCAGAATTTATGCCAGGTCTCTCTGGTTGAAGCTCTAACCGAGTTTTTGCCTTTACTTGCATTTTTCAGGTACAGAGATTACAGATACCCTCCTGACCACGAGAAGAAATATTTTCATAACATGCAGTTTTGGCATGTCCTTGCTGCCAAGATGACCTTCATCATAATTATGGAAGTAAGTTGGTATTAACTTCCATTCCAGTGACTCGCGCTACTCCCCTTAGGCAGATAGTTCTAAAGGAACTCATCACACAGCCTTATCTCAATAAACCGTTTTGAAGGATGTATTTGCTGTTATAGAAAGCAACTGAGGGAAGTGTTAAGAAGAAGGAGTCGCTTATTATTCACTTACTGAACAGAAAAGGAAAGGACAGATCCGCCTGTTCCCTTGAGATCAGAAGAAGGGGAGAGAATCCACTGATTTTTACAAAATACCAATTATGGGGACCAGCAGATGGCATAATGGCTATGTTGCTGGACTCTCATGTAGTCAACTGCAGTTTGAGTCCCAGACCCGGTGGCTTAAACTCACGCTGGGAGTGTGTGTGTGTGTGCCCAAGATCACGAGAGGAGAATGGAGGAGAAGGGACTGCAACATGGCCATTCTTCTGGGGGGTGATTTCTCGCTTTCTCTCTCTCTCTCTCTCTCTCGCTCTCTGTCTGTCTTTTTGGCGAGTGCATGCACCCTGTAGCAAAAACCTCAAAAAGAAAAAAATACCAATTATGTGCTAGTTCGAGAGGCTGTTCGATGTCATAAGAATCTTGTCAGTTACACTTCATTATTCCCTTTGATAAATGAATCTGAACCATCGTTGGCTTAGGTTTAACTGGTATTAACAGGAGAGCTGCAGTTTAGTGCCAGCTGTGTCTGACTCCCAAGCCCACGTCCTGTCCACCATGTCAATAATTCCTCTCTTGTGGATTAACTCCTATAATTAGAGAAGAAAGGCGTGCACGAAAAGGTAATACGGAAGGAGTATTTTTCTAAGTTACAAATTGAGAGTTGAGTGCTACAAATTATGACAGTGAGAGAGAAGTAAATGAAGACACCTTTGTGTTCTGCAGTAGAGCCTCATACTAGGTGCCTTGAACGCAAGCACAGGCAATTCCAGTCAGTTTCTCTTTATTTTATTTGCTTGTTTTGTTTTTGCCATAGGGTGTATACGCTCACCAGAGAGACAGACAGACACAGAGAGAGAAAATGAGAAATCACCACCTCCCAGGGGGGATGTCCACGCAACAATCCCTTCTCCTCCATTCTCTTCTTGGAATTTTGGGCATGCACATATATACGCCCAGCATGATTTTCAATCCACCAGGTCCAGTTCTTGAACCATGGTCGACCACGTAAGAGTCCAGCACCATAATCACTATGCCACCTGCTGGCCCCAGTTCCCGTTTATTTTATTTTATCAAAGTTATGCATTTAATTCTTTTTTTTTTTGTAGAGATTTTTTTTTTGCCATGGGGCATGCATGCTCACTAAAGAGAGAGAAAGAGACAGAGAGCAAGAAAAATTACACCTCCCCTATAGGGATGGCCACACTGCAATATCTTCTCTTCCATTCTCCTCTCAGGGTTTTTGGGCACATATGCACATGTGCCTGGCATGAGTTTTAAGTTACCGGGTCTGGGACTCAAACTGCAGTCAACTGTGTGGGAGTCCTGTGACGTAACCATTATGCTATCTGCTGTCCCTGTGCATGTAATTTTTAAAATATCACATAGTTCTATATGACTTTAAAATAAAAACAGTCTTACATAAGTTTCCTCCCTTCCTTCATGTCCTAATTTCCAAAGGCAAATGTTTTAACTTTTAAAACTTATTCTAATAATTACCTCTGTAAAGGAAAGCAGTAGGGACCAGCAGATGGCGTAATGGTTACATCACTGGACTCCCATGTGACCGTGGTTTGAGACCTGGACCCAGTGTCTTAAAACTCAGCCAGGCACGTGTGCTTGTGTGCCCGAAATCCTGAGAGGAGAACGGAAGAGAAGGGATTACAGTGTGACCATCTCCCCTGGGGGGATGATTTCTCACTTTCTGTCTTTCTGTTTCTCTCTGTCTTTTCTGTGAGTGCAAGCAAAAATATATCAAAAAAAAAAAAAAAAAAAAGGTGGAAAGAAAAGCAAGGTTCTCATACAGTAATTTATTTTTTTTCCTTTTTGATATTAATCTATGACTTTCTACTATTGCAGGTCACACACACGCACACACACACACCCCTCACACACAAACCTGTCTTTCTCTTTCCTCTCAAATACATTAGTTGTCGGAAAATTCAAGAAGTATTTTTTTGTGTGTTTCTATGCAAAAATGCATCTTGAATTTTCCAACCGCCTAGTACACCACAATTTTCTGTGTATGTAAGTCCATGATATCTTATTCTGAAATTTAGAGTTTCAGAAAATAGGAGTTCTGAAAAGTTAGATGCTCCTGATACAGTGCCTTTGAAAGTCCTTACTACTTTCTGAATTTTTCTGTGGCTCTGAAACAAAATTGGCTTTTGCTTTTTTATTTCCACTGTCAGTCACCTTATCACCAATTGCGAGTTTAAGGGCCAGTTCTCCTCACCCCCTGGAGTCTAACTCCTTTACGAATGTTTTATTGCATTTTCAGGAAAGAGCAGAGATAACATAGTCAATAACTACATTTAATAGCAATTTCTCTGATTACGTATTTAAATATATGTTTCAATGTTGGTGCTTATATGGAAGTTCACGGACAGAGACTGTATTTTCTTGCTCCCCTCAGAACTCCCTGTCAGATACAGTGACTT